ACGAGCGACATTATTTAGTTCCCACAAATCCCTCCAAATAAAATCCACCAATTAAGGTGGCTTTTAAGCTAGCTGCAATTTTGGATACAAAAGGAAAATAAGAGTTACTCCCCTTGAACCATGAAAACAACGATAGTGGCTAGTATAATATATTAATATATATATATTTAACCTCGCATGATCTGGCAACCCTGAATTTGAGCTCAAGGAAAATCGTTCCCTGCGCCTAACTTTCTATGGCTTTTGAATGAACTATAAATCATTGAAATCGGGCCGGTGAGAACAGAGGAATTGTTGGGACACACATGCACACAAGCGCACACATATAAACTGTACTTATATATATATATATATATATATATATGATTAGCTCCCTTATATTGGGACAGTGTTTTCAAAAAATTCCATAGTTCCAACGGTTAAATTTAAATTTTGAAAACAGAGTACATTCATGCGGGTTTTTAAAAAAAACACCATCACAACGATCACAGTTACAATAAGTTTGTCTTTGTAAATCAACCCTGAGGGTGATCTCGGAAGAGATTGAAAGTACTTGGGTAAGAAAAAACTACGGCGGCTTCCTTTATGATTTTCATCTTAACATTAGGAAACTGATTAGAGAACTAGAAAGGATTATTATAAAAATAGACATATGTTCAGATTATTCAATGAAACATGTTTGAATGAAGCTGTAATGCATACATACATACATACATACATACATACATATATATATATATATATATATATATATTAGGTACGTTCCAAAATATGCTCCCTATTACTGTGATTCCAAATTAATCATTGTAATTGGCGCCTTCTTTACGACTTGCATTTCAGAAACAATAAAAGACTGAAGCAAATCACGATCACTGATGGAAATCAGAACCACAAACTGTATTCCTGTTCTGTTATTGATTTTTTTTTTTTAACTCTGGAACAAATTGTGCCGTTGGAAATCCGCGACCGTATAAAATATATTTATCTGGTATATGGAACGGTTATATGTTGGGCTTCTCAGTGACGCCCTGCGATGAAATCCTTTTAAAACAATCTAACATCAGACCGTCCGGTAAATATTCTTTGTTGAAAATAAATAAATAAAACTAAAAATAAAATAAAATATTCTTTCCCAGTGTAGCAATCCGGATGAAGTCCAGAATATACCAATCCAGATTCTCCAAAAATATACGCAGTTATAATTTAACATAGTCCAGAACAATTACCAGGATATTATTAAGGCTAGCCTGCGTCATACCACAGGGTATAAAATAGACCAATGATTCCCAACGTGGGGCACATGCCCCACCGGTGGAGCATGGTAATATTTTGGTGGGGCATGTGTAGGATGTGTACCTTTCGGATTACTATACCAACAGAATAAGGGGGGTAATTCGAGAATGAGTTAAAAGTGAATTGTTTTCTAGTTAGTCTGAGTGTGAGTGTTAATGCGTGTTAATGCATACGATGTATATACAGTATGCATACATAAAACTATTTTGTGTGTATGTACGTACATGTGTAATTGGCATACAGGGTATTTCCCGTCTCCTACACTCGCGTGTCAACAAAGGAGAGGGCGTGATGCATGTCACTGGAAGCATGTCGCTGGAAGAGTCTATGTTTTGTCAGCCAATCAGCGCGCATGAGCATTCAATTTGCTTCTTTCACGTGATTTGCAGTAAAATTTCGAATATGTAAGAATTAAATATTACATGGGGGGGGGCATCAGAATTTTGGAAATACCAAAGTGGGACATGGTCCGAAAATCGGCTGGGAATTACTGATCTAAGTTAAATATTCGCATGCTTTCATACGTAGAAAATGCACGTATGATTTTTTTCTTTACATTATTTACATTATTCGGACTATTGTCGTCATCTTTGTCGCCATATTTATTACAGCATTTCGGCTGTTGTACGCTCCGGTCTTCTTAAGGTGTATGGAATGTCGAACTGAACCCTCTATTTCGCTCACTGGGGTAGGACACATGGCACAGTGGATAAAGCCGTTGGTTAGATCCAGTGACAGGAACCAAAGAGCGTTAGTTCAATACCCGGTTAAGGCAGTGGAGAACTTGCAGAGGGGAATTAATAAGAGATAACTGATAACTGACATCCATTAGACATGGCACGTAGAACTAGAACAGTCTACACGATCTCAATCCATTGGGAGAATCTTGCATTATTAGCAGTTTGAAAATTCGCGCTTTTCCCCGACAGTGCTCGACCGAATTAATTTTTTTTTTTTCAGTAGCTAGTATCGTCATCCACAGACAGACTGTTTCGCTCATCAGTGTGAATATATATATATATATATATATATATATATATATGTGACGTCGTCCCCCGGTCGCAGCGTCGACTGTGTTGTTCGATCCCGGTCGCGGCGCCAATTGTGACGTCTTTGCCGCGGCGTCAGCTGTTTGCTCCTCGCTGCTCCAAACGTTACGTTTTAACCCTTTGGTTAGATTCATATCAGCCTCGCCGTTCCCAACCCGCTTCCAATGCCTGGTTACCAGGGTAACTGCACTGATCTCCAGTCTGCCTACCCACGTTGTGAATTGATCATAGACAGACGAGATCAAACAGGGGTTGGGGCCGTAATGCAAGTTGAGTCTAACGGGAGTGATAACACCCAATTATGTATAAAAGAAAAGAAAATAAAAACTCACAAGGTCCGACGTATCAAAGAAAAAGGTAACAAACTTTTTATGTCTAATTGCTCGGTACATAGGACTATGTCTACTTCCCGACCCGTTCTGTGGATTGTGGCACGATGCTTTTACTAGGCAACTTTAAGGCTTCCAGTTGTCTGCTCTCTAAGAAATTTGTGTTTCGGTGTGTCTTTGGACGAAAGTCGAAAAAAAACTTATTTCTGTGGTCTGATTCTAAGTCGCTCTTCAAACTACTTGTTCTTGGTTGAAGAAGAGTCCAGAAGTGTGCGTGAATCTTGGTCAGCTATCTTGACGCGGTTTCAACACTGGGCGCTCATCTCTGCTTGTCGTCCACGGCTGAACTCTTTCGCCGTCCGCGGCTCAACTCAAACTGATTTCTGTCGGTTTGGGTTTCGCTTTTTATTGACGCAGTCAAAACTGGGGGTGGGTCTGTCGGCGCCAGGGTTTTCTTCGATAATTCTAAATACGTATCCACCCTTCTTATTTCTGGTTAGGGATTTTCCATTTTCGGTAACTCTCTCACTCCCACTTCCTTACTGTGCTCTGAGGGGCGTATACCCGCTTCCCGCTTCTTCGTATCGGCTCCTTACACTTACACTTCTGACAGGGGCGTCGACCGATTCTCCTCGTGCGTCACGTGACCGCTCTCGGCCAATGAGGTCCTGGTCGGGTATCTTTCCTCCTCCTTCGTGTGTCATGTGATCTTATTTAGCCAATGACGTCTTTAGTCGGGCGTGGACAATCCGTGGCTTTGTTTTGGGGAAAGAAACACCTTGCTTAAAAAACAAAAATATTAATTTAAATCGCCCTTATCATGAGCGACTGAGATGACACCTTCGGCTTTTTAACACGTGGTATTTGTCAAGCAGTTTATCGCTAATTGGATATGACCTAAGAAAGGGATTTCTCAGACCTGTTGGCGTTTTTGAACAAAATAAAAATATTTCATTTTCCTCCGCCCGAAGGTCCGATAATATAAATCTTTATTATCTCAAAAAAAAAATTTTCAGCGACATCGTCTTGTGTGGCTTTTTCTAATTCTGGAGACTGTCTGGGTTTTCGTATTAATGGTTTGCCTTCATATCCTTAGATACACTTCCCCACCCACTTAGACCTTTACTATCACTCCAATGACACACTTTCCACTTGTTACTTATCAATATTTTCATTGTCCCTAAACTTCGTTTCTTCTTTTCCTCTTGGGTGACAACCAATTGATAACAACTTCCATTTTTCGTCGATTCCGCGGAAATCGGTCAGATGCTTGACCCGGAATTTTTCGACACCTGTTATCTGTCAGCGGTTCGTGTGTGTGCTCGCCTATGACCTGTTTTCGTATTATTTTTTCTTTCTTTCTTCTTCGTTTTCTCTTTCCTTCTTCCAGATCGCTTGAATATAAAGAAAGAATTATTCTTAAAACCCAAAATATTTTTCAGCCCTAAATAATTATTAAATGGTTGATAAACCGTAAAAAACAAATCATATATCTATGAATATTTCTTTTCAGCTCGTCAGGTATGCATGGTGCCACATATATATATATATATATATATATATATATATATATATATATATATATATATATATATATATATCTGATCATGAACTGTTCTAAAGTTCATATATTTGCTTTAATTTCTGATGAAAATAAAAGACAAAAATTGTCCAACATTTGGATAGTTTTTATTAAGTTGGTACTTGCTCTAAGCTTTCGGCTCACATGAGCCATCTTTATAGTGATTATACGGACATTTAAACAAACATATTCATCATCAAAGATGATATTCTGTTATGTTGACATAGAAGATTGCTATGCGATGATAACAATCTCGGAATAGCAGACACAGGTCGTAAATTCACGATGCGTTTCTATGACGTCATACCACGCGAGAGGATGAAATATTAACAACATATGTCTAGATGCAATGTAATGTGTTGTGACTTATTTGAAATTATGTTGAGTGCGAGTTGCTTTGTTTTTTATGTAGATAGCCTCTAATATATAAAGGTTCTTTTTACTGTTTGTATGTTTGAATATTATTGTATTATCAACTAATATCTGTGTAATATTATGTACATGTATATATATATATATATATATATATATATATATATATGCACACATAGCAAGTATATAACTTAGTAAAAGAGGTTTATTTCATGTATATACACATGCATATATATGTGTGTCAGTGTGAGTTAAAGTAGGATAGAAGGAAACGAATCACTTGTGATAAATATATATATATATATATATATATATATAAAGAAAGAGAGAGAGAGAGGAGAAAAAAGATCGACATCACTTGGTCAAACTGAATACCAGTGAATTGTTTAATATTGATTAATATAAATAGCTTAGATAGATAGATAGATAGATAGATAGATAGATAGATAGATAGATGATTAGATATATATATATATATATATATATATATATATTGAGAGAGAGAGAGAGAGAGAGAGAGAGAGAGAGAGGAAAAAAGATCGACATCACTTGGTCAAAGTGAATAAATTGTTTAATATTGATTAATATAAATAAGCTTAGATAGATAGATAGATAGATAGATAGATAGATAGATAGATAGATAGATAGGAAATGACTGAGATAGATAGATAGATAGATAGATAGATAGATAGATAGATAGATAGATAGATAGATAGGAGAAAAAGATAGACATTACTTGGTCAAAGTGAATACCAGGGAATTGTTTAATATTGATTAATATAAATAAGCTTAGATAGATAGATAGATAGATAGATAGATAGATAGATAGATAGATAGGAAATGACTGAGATAGATAGATAGATAGATAGATAGATAGATAGATAGATAGGAAATGACTGAGATAGATAGATAGATAGATAGAGAGAGAGAGAGAGAGAGAGAGAGAGAGAGAGGAGAAAAAAGATAGACATCACTTGGTCAAAGTGAATACCAGGGAATTGTTTAATATTGATTAATATAAATAAACTTAGATAGATAGATAGATAGATAGATAGATAGATAGATAGATAGGAAATGACTGAGATAGATAGATAGAGAGAGAGAGAGGGGGGGAGATAGACATTACTTGGTCAAAGTGAATACCAGGGAATTGTTTAATATTGATTAATATAAATAAGCTTAGATAGATAGATAGATAGATAGATAGATAGATAGATAGAGATAGATAGATGTTTGGGGATAAATGTCGTCTGAAAAAAAAGAAGTCCCATTGTGTGCGTGCAAAATAACGGGCATTGTCCACACTGCCGAATGTCAGCCATATTAACTCACGCTCTCACAAAAGCGGTGGTGACCCGTGAAAATAGCGTTTTGTGAGCGTCAGGCTTCAGACATTACACGCTTCGATGCCAGACCTGCAAGGCTGACCGCTCACCCTCCATATTCTAAAACCGAAATACGAAATGTGAAATCCATTTGAGCGTGCAGGGAAGGGCTACTGACAAATAGAAAAGTTTGCTTCGTTTCAATAAAGATCTTTCGCATAGAAAATTGGACGAAAGCCGAAACTTCGTTTCAGGGCTATCTCTCTAAAGTAAGAGAGTAATAGACATTAGTATCTGTCTATATTTCTGAGATGAAGTATTATGTACACTATTTTATATTATTCGAACTATTGTCCTCATCTTTTTCGCCATATTTATTACAACGTTTCGGCCGTTGTACGCTTCTCCAGATGGTTGGAATGTCGAATTGAACCCTTTATTTTGCTCACTGAGGTACACTGTTCTAGTTTCACATGCCATGTCTAATGGATGTCAGTTATCAGTTATCTCCTGTTAATTCCCCTCTCCAAATTCTCCGCCACCTTAACAAGGTATTGAACTCACACTCTCTGGGTCTTGTCACTGGATCTAACTAACGCCTTTATCCACTGTGCCTTGTCCTTGAGGACACATGGCACTGTGTGTTCTATACCATTAAGTTTAAAATTAGACGTTCTACTAGCATTAACTAGATTATAATTCTCAGTGATTCAATCAGTGACTAGTAATATTACCATTGATGCTTCCGACTGTAAACTTACACTCAGCGATCGGCCAACGTTGCGTCTCCATTCTGGTTTGCATCGGTGGGCACCAAAAACTTTGAAATGTTTGCTGCATGTCCTCAAGGAAACAATAGATAAAAAAAACGCCACAGCGAGAAATGAGAACTCGAACTATGTATCTAATATATTTAATTTTATTCAGGACGTCGTCTGCTCGTCAATTCAGCTCTTCCTTCCAACTATGTTTCTACCCACCTACACATCACGACGTGTGGCCGGCAGTACAAATAAGCGGCATTGGAACGTACCCAAGAAACTATCTCGGTCCCCAACCAAGACAGACCGGAACTGACTTCTTTGATCCCTACTCTGACCGTTAATATTTTTTTAATCATTTCACCCGAACAAGGCAATAAAGCAACTAAGACGCAAGGAGGAAACTGAGTGTAGGAGAATATGAGAAAAAGAAAACAGTATTAAGGAGAAAATACAATAAAAGAACAAGACAGATAATGACGATATACCTTGCATTTAAATTCCTTCCAAGTAAGGCACTTAAACCTCTAAGACGCAAAGGAGTTAGTAAGTGTCAGAGAATCTGAAAAAAAAACTACTATTATGTAAAGAGAACAATAAAAGAACAAGAATTAAGACGACAGGAGAAAACGATTGATATTGCGTTTAAATTCTTGAAGATTAAACTTGACTCGAAATCAAAAAACTAGAAGAGCGCCCCACAAGCGAAAAGTGAAACATATAATGTAGACAAATAACCGGAAATCATGAATGTCCAGTTTAGTCATCACTTGATTCCAAATGCTTTCTCTTATTCATTTGTTATTTCACTTGAATTTCTTAAGCGAATCAAAGACATTTTAACTTATTTCTGTTTCTTACATTTTCATACTTAAATTACTATTTTTACTAGTTTTCTTTCATTTTTGGAAAATTACAGTAATTCCGTAATTCTTAAGCGGTATAGCACCCCCCACATACACACATATATATATATATATATATATATGATTGAATAAATTAATTACATACATTATGTCTGCTAATTTTTAACAAAATCCGCTCATACACACGAATAACCTTCCGTGTATTGATGTTAAAGGATGAGAGAAATGTGTTATAGCTGTTTAAATGTCTTTTATTTTCATTTCACAAATACTTTCGATCTTCCTCCCAGATCATCTTCAAGGGTGCAATTAGCACAAAATTTTATACTGTTCATTACTACAAGTACTTATACAAACCATATATATATATATATATATATATATATATATATATATATATATATATATATATATATATATTGTTTGACGTTATTTTGATAGATACCATTTATTTAAGTAAATGCTCCGTTTTTAAGTAAACTATTAATTAGATCGACAGTTCTGAATTTTAGAGAAATTTAGTAGAAAATATGTGCTTTTCCGACAGGAATCGAACCTGTAGCCCCAGCGGGGACCATTAATTGATCTGATGTGCTGTTAGCTATTCAGCCACAAAGAAGCGTCTGGTTAGTAAAGTCCGAATTACTGTTTACTAGCAGCATGGCCCGGCGTTGCCCGTGCTTGATTCAAAAATCGTACAACTCATACAGCAAACGGTATCACTTGACTTAAAATATTTTTGGCCTTTCCTTGCCTTTAAAGGAGTGCCCTTTTCCGTGCTGATGTTGCTGTATGCCTTACTTCTTGCGAAATTTTTTTTTTTTTGGAATAACGTTTTTCCGAAATTTTGATTTCAATTATTAAAACACGTAAATTTCAGAAAAACGTTATTCCAAAAAAAAAAAATGTGTGTGTGTGTGTGTATAGCGTACAAGGCGACCGAGCGCATATGTCGACCCAAGCTCTATTCGCCGTAAAAACGACTCCCACAAATCGTATTTTTAAATGCATCATATTGAATTTATTAAATAAATTTATTAAGCCTATACTTTCTTTTCACTTAAATTATAATGTAAAAACGGTGGGAGATATTGTCAATTAGCTACCGCAATGAGTGGATGCTGTGTTTTTGGTAGGCTATTACGATAGCCTGAATGGCTTTTACCCGTTAACCATATCCTCGACCACTTTTCTCGAATGTGAACTACTCAATCATTGTTCTCGAATGTGATCTTTAAACGGCTTTTTGAGACAAATATCCAAACGTGTATTTGTTCGACATCATCGGAAAAAGCAAGCGAGATATTGTCAATTAACTACCACATTTTTTACCTGTATGGCCTCTTTTTTTGGGGGGGGTATTTTAAGGTTAAAATGTCGCCTTGTACTCCGACATATACGTTGCATATATATAAGATAAAGTATAATTTTAAAATATGCTAGATATGATTTATTTATATATGCTTATTTTATACGTATGCATATATATATATATATATATATATATATATATATATATATATATATATATATATATATATATGTATGTATATTGTCTAACTTTAGTCAGTTACATTTGCATACTAGTACACTGTCACATACAATAAATCATTTAACAGTAAACTAATTTTTTACATTTTCTTAATGAGAAAACTTTTTAAATTAAATGTAACTATAGCAATTCTATGTAAAGTCTAGCATACAAAAATACAGGTGTTCCTAAACACTAAATGAGAGTATATATATATATATATATATATATATATATATATATATATATATATATATATAATGTTAATCGAAACTTCATAATGCAATCACAACTACGTTGAACTGGCTATGTGGCAAGGATGAGTGATGATCGCATACCAAATGTTCTTCTTTACAGTGAACTCCATAGTAGTCATAAAAATGTCGGTATACTTTGGCTGATGTTTTGAGATAAACTGAAAAACAACCTTTCTTGCGTCACCATTCCATCCAAGAACTTTGAAGAGGTAGGTATCTAGCTTTCTTTTAAACATCTTTCGTTAAATATGACAGACAAGGAAAATTTAAGTAATTTTTAAATAGTTTTACCAGCGTCCTTACATTTTTTTTCGTTTGGTAAGAGCATCGGCGTGCAAAAATTATCCATATTGTCCATTGTCCCAAGCACATCCGGGTACTTCTTTAGCCATTTTCAAGGGGGTTTCTTTTAAATATTATTAATTTCTCTTCATCTTTCACTGTTTAAGATTTGTTTTTGTGTGTGTATGTGTTGCTTTAAATTTTGAATGAGGAGCGTTTATTCCAAGCTTTTACGTGTTAAGCGCGACTGGAATTGCATTTTTCTATTTCATAATTAAAATTAAAAAGCTTTCAAGTCATCATTTCCACTGTTACATAAGGTGAGGTTGATAGTGGGTAAGAGATGTTTAATATACAGAACCTCTATGATAGCAAGATCTTTCGGGTAATGTGATTTATATAGAATTCTAGTATTTTCGACCAGAATTTTCTGAAGTATTCTTACAAATGGTGGGTATATATATATATATATATATATATATATATATATATATATATATATGTGTGTGTGTGTGTGTGTGTGTGTGTGTGTGTGTGTGTGTGTGTGTGTGTTTTAATAGTACTTTGATCTGATAAGTGACATGTGAGGCGTCTACTCAAGGAGGTGGTAGTATGACCGATATGGGAAATTGCTTTTGATAAGAAATACAGTTTTGAATTGGGCAGTGGAATTTGTATATTATATTGGTCATCGGTAGTTTAGATTTAATG